GGTGGGGCCACGGTGACCCTAGTCCGGGCGAGGGAAACGGGACTTTGATTTGATACTTTTTCATGGGGTTCTTTTGGATCACTGTCACTGTAAAACTATATTTATTAATAAGGGCTTAATTACATCAATTATTTATTATGATTACTCATTACTGTGATTACTGTTACTTTATTATGAAATGGTTTCTGACATATCAGGAAACAGCTATCCATCCATCCTTCTTTCAACCATTTATCTATTACAGGGTTGTGGTACCCTTGGTGCCTAACAGGAATTTACTTCAAATTATTATGAGGCAGCACCACCACCGGGGGGTATTCCATGAAGCAGGCTGAAGGGAGAGTCTGACTTATTTCGACAAGTCAGTCTTACTTAAGTGCGAGTTCCGTTCCATTAACGTGTCTTAAATGAATCCCCGCTAAATTACCATGGTAATTTAGGCCTGCGAACAAGCCAGGTCCGGATCAGGCTAACTGTCTCGCTTAGTTTAGCGTTGTCTCAAAGAACGTCCGACGTGTGGGAACAGATTCCCAAAAAATGGTTCCGTCGGACGAAATTCGGCGATCTTACTATTCACTTTTCTGTCGTGTAATCTGTTGAATTATATGTTCTCATTATATCATTATATTTTACATTATCTGACTGAATTTTTTTGTTAATCTGTAAGGTGTACCAAAATGATATAATTTCGTTTGAGTTAGCGGGAGAAGTGAGTCTTGCATATACGTATATAAAAATGGAATCCTGTAGTCCTGTGAGTAGGCACTTAAAACACTCGCTCGAGCCGATCGCCGATCGCGTCGCCCCTGATGACGTCATCATTTTTCAAAGAGCGTATCGGTAGGATTAAAAAATTTCCTCTTTTTGGGGCTAGCACTGCACGAAATTACGTTAGATGGGTGCCATCTTGGACAGGAGAGCCTCGATTTCGAACAAGTTTTATCCGATCAATTTCTGTGGTGTTTTACAAACTAAAGGTAAGGTTTACCCCTCCCAAAAATAGTCAGTAATCCCCCAGGCAACCCAGACTCACCTCCAGGCGCATTCTTTGGTTTCTAAACTACTTATCTGCAAAGTTTCACAACAAAATTCAAGCGGGATCTTGCATTCCCAGCCTTGGTCTTCAAGGACACAATGCATTATGCGTAAGCTGGCAGACGAAAATACGGTCGAAGTTTTTATAAAAAATTTGAAGGATTTGACCAAATATTATAATTACATACAAAAATACCTTTAGAAGATATTTTGATGTATAATAAGACAGGATGATTTTGGATTTGTGCAACTGACTGATGTTTAGTGTACTATATATTGTATCATATTGTTGCAGTGTCTTGAATACCAGTGGTGTAAAGTACTT